CAGAAATTACGAGTCATTAGTAAAACAGAATATAGAGGTAAGGAAGTTTACCAACAGAATATGATTAAAAAGGCTTTTTTGGAATTTTATACAAAGTTATATGCTAGTGACTCAATACAAGGTATAGATATAGATAGATATTTAAAGGAAGGGAATATTTTGGAATTAACATTGGAACAGAGGGAAGGATTGAATCAACCAATAACTTCTGAGGAGATCGTTGCGGCAATTAAGCAGTTAAAAACAGGGAAAGCTCCAGGAACAGATGGATTAACAGCTGTTTATTATAAGAACTTACAGCTTGAAATGGTAGAGCCACTTAGAGCTATATTTAGTAAAATTCAGTTAGGGGGAGGAGTTCCACCCTCTTGGAGAACAGCTTTTGTTTCATTGATTCCGAAGGAAGATCAAAACTGTATCAAACCTGAAAATTTTAGGCCAATTTCACTTTTGAACACGGATTATAAAATCTTTGCTAAAATATTAGCGAATAGATTAATGCCAGTTATGCAACAAGTTATTCACAATGACCAATCAGGTTTTATAAAAGGGAGGCAGATGAAATATAATGTTAGACAAATTATAAACTTATTGGAATATTTGGAAAAAAATAACCAGGTTCCTGCAGTGTTCATATTCTTGGATGCAGAGAAAGCATTTGATCGATTGAACTGGCAATTCCTGTTTAAAATAATAGAAAAAATGCACTTTGGGGAGTATTTCATACATTCAATTAGAGCAATATATCAGGAACAAACAGCACAAATAATAATTAATGGAGGTTTAACAGATGTGTTTAAAATTGAGAAAGGTACGAGGCAGGGTTGTCCCTTGTCGCCACTGTTGTTTATTTTAACTTTAGAAGTTTTGTTGAATAAGTTATGTGATTCTGATAAAATAAAAGGAATTGTAATTAGACAGCAGGATTATAGACTAAGAGCGTTTGCAGATGACCTGGTTCTTACTTTATCTCAACCTATAGAAGCGGCTCCCTATATGCTGGACATAGTAGCTCAATATGGCAAAGTATCTGGATTTAAAGTAAATCTTCACAAGACAAAGATGATAACTAAAAATATGTCCATAACTCAAAGAGAAGATTTAGGGAGAATAACGGGGTTTGAAGTAGTTAAAAAGGTTAAGTATCTAGGAATATATATTGCAGCCTCAAACACGAAATTGTTTAAAAATAATTATGAAATTCTTTGGCAAAAAGTACAGAAAGAAATGGAAAAATGGAAAAAGTTACAATTATCACTACTGGGAAGGATAGCAGCAATAAAAATGAATGTACTACCTAGGTTTTTATTTTTGTTCCAAATGATACCAGTGCTTAAAAAAGATGGAAATCTGATGGAATGGCAGAAAGGGGTTAATAGTTTTATTTGGGTTGGGAAGAAACCAAGAATGAAACTGAAAATCATACAGGATATACGTGAGAGAGGAGGTCTTAAAATGCCTAAGTTAAGATTGTATTATGAAGCAGCAGCTTTATCACAAATAAGTGATTGGTTTGACTTAACTGAAGAAAGAATGTTAAACATAGAAGGTTATGATTTGTTATATGGATGGCATGCTTATTTGTTATATGAAAAAAAAGTGGATAAAGTGTTTAAGGGTCATATACTCAGAAATGCATTGTTGAGGGTTTGGAAAAAGTACCAATATAAGCTGAACTATAAGATACCTATATGGGCAAATCCCAGACATGCAATAGAAAATATAAGTATAGAGCAAAAAACAGAGGTGATTACTTATAAAGAGCTTCTTCTTTTGGAAAGAGGTAAGTTGCAACTGAAATCTCTAGATGAATTAAAAGAAGAAGGGATAATTTATACTTGGTTTCAGTATGGTCAGCTTCAAGTTAGATGGAGGGAGGATCAAAAAATTGGGGTTATGCAAAATGAGGAAAATCTGGTGAAACAGATTAGAGATCAAAGTCAGATGCATATTAAAAGGTTGTATAATGCATTATTGGAAATAGATTCAGAAACAGAATTGGTTAAGGATTGTATGATAAAATGGGCACAAAATTTTCAGGAACCAGTGATGATGGAAACATGGGAAAAGATTTGGGTCAGAAATGTTAAATTTATGCAAGCACAAAATCTGAGAGAGAATTTTTATAAAATGTTTTATAGATGGCACTTAGATCCTAAAAAATTATCATGTATGTACTCGAATTTGCAAGCTAAATGTTGGAGATGTGAATGTAATGATGCAACCTATTATCATATATGGTGGATCTGTAAGAAAATCAAGGCATTTTGGATAAAAATTTGGTGGGTGATGCAGAACATTTTGAAAAGAAGGTTGAAATTTACTCCTCAATTGTTTCTATTGGGCATAACTACGGACTGCACAGTATCAGAGACTAAATTGATTTTGAACTTAGTATCAGCAGCTAGGCTGTTGGTAGCTCAGTATTGGAAGAAGGACTCTTTGCCTACTATTGAAGAGTGGATATTGAAAGTAACAAACCTAGCAGAAATGGCGAAAATCTCAGCGTATTTGAAGGACCACACGCAAGAAAGATACGTATCGGAATGGAGAAGATGGATTGATTATATTCAAAATAAGTATCAGACAAGAAAATATCAAATAGCTTATGAATGAATGTTAGTATTAGAAGTATTAGGTTATCTATAGTGGAGTTAAGGTTTCAGGGGGGGAGTTAGTACTTTGAGGATAAGTAGATTAATCTAGTTTATGATTGATTAAATGAAATTCCTTGTATTTTGCTCTGGGAAGTCTGGGGGGGAGGGTGGGATGAGGGGGGGAAGGGGGGGAATATGGGGGGGAAGAAAATTTTTGTATTTTTTTTGTAAAACTTTTCAATATAAAAAAAAAGAATAGAACAGATTGCAAAGACCATGGTGCTTCCTTCAAGTGCCCCCTTTCTTGTCCCATGTTCCCATGTTCCCAGGACCCAGAATCAATATACCACCCATTGTCCTAATCCCATCAATAGTAAATAAAGATATATAGAGATGCATGGTACAATGGGATCAGGGCACTGAATGTAATGTGTTTTCACTTTCAAAATATAGGCAGATCTATATTTTTTGGGAAAATAGAATTTCATGGAATCATAGCAGTAAAGACACCTTGCAGGTCTTTTAGTCCAAACCTTGCAGGAGTCCTTACAACATCCTGGACAAATGGTTGTCCAAGCTTTTCTTCAAAATCTCCAGCAATGGAATACCTACAATTCCAGAAGGCAAGCTGGTTCACTAATTAATAGTGCTCACTGTCAGGAAATTACTCCTTATTTCCAGGTTAGATCTCAATTTAATAAGTTTATAGCCATTGCTTCTTGTCCTGTCTTCAGGTGCTTTGAAGAATAAATCTACCCCCTTCTCTGTATTGGAAGACTGATATCAGGTTTTCCCCAAATCTTCTCTTTTGTTAGGCTAATCATACAGTACCTTGTTCCCTTACCCATTCATCATATGATTTAGCCTCCAGATCTATAATCACCTTTGGTGCTCTTCGCTGCACTGTTTTTAGAGCCTCAGCATCTGTTTTGCATTGTGACTAGAACAGGACTCAATATTCCAACTATGGCCTCACTAGTGCAGTACAGAGCAGTACTACAACTTCTTGTGATCTTGGCACTATCCTTCTATTGATGCAGCCTAGGACTGCATTGGATTTTTTGGCAGCTGCAGCACACTGCTGGCTCATACTTAAGCAGTGATCCACTGAAGGACACCCAGATCCTTCTCACAGATACTACTATTGAGCCAGGTACTACTGTTTTTCTTTCCTAAGTGAAGAACATTACCTTTCTCACCACTGAACTGGATAGCTAGTCAACTCGGTCAAGATCGTTCTAGTGTTAGTGATTTCCCCAAGTTTGTGTCATCCACAAATTTGATGAGCACCCCTTCAATCTATATCATTTATAGAGATATTAAAGAGCACTGGACCACGAGATAGTACCACGAGGTATCCCACTGCAAGCTTTCCTCCACATAAATACAGTTCCATTGAGAACTAGTCACTGTGTGCGGTTGGCTTGTCAACTGCAAATTTCTCTGGTAGTGGTACTATTCCACATTCTTCAATCTAATTGTTTTATTTCACCTTTACCATCAAAATGTTTTCTTATAGAGAGAACATTTTTTTTGTTTTTTGTTTTATTTTATAACAGGTCATACTGTATATATATATATTGCCTTGAATTTAATAGAAAACTGCATAAAAGAAGGACATTAGCATGCCAGAAAGAAAAAAAAAAGCTGCTTTGCTTGATAATGAGGGCAGTCAAAAGGTTAATTTCCTTAATTTTCTTTGCTTTTTATAAACTGTATTCACCTGTTTAATCATATAAAATCTTGGTGTGTCACTACTCAAGCGATAAGCTAATGATCACACACTATTATCTCTCAAAATGTAAAAAAAAATGTGGTTAAGGGTCACTGTGTTTAAGGGATGTTTTTTGATCTTCCTTGTCATAATTGGTATTAAGAAAGCTGATTATATTTTTAAGAGTACTGGAAACATTCTATAAAAACTATCATACTCAATCAGTGCTGAAAATATAGAAAACCCTCACTAATGACTGATAACAATTTCACTCATCTAAAGAAGGTGCTGCAGTTTTTCATAGTTAAGAGTTGGCACCAGCCATCTGGGAAAACTCTGATCACCAAGTATATTTAAGATGTTTCAAGAAAAAGCAAAAAGAATGTCATAAAGGCTAATACAATTGTCTTTGAAGTGTAAAATAAGCTTTTTAAAATGTAAGATAAGAAGCATTCTACAGAGATCTGAGAAATTCAGATATTCAATTAGTGATTAAATATAAAAACTGATTAATTAAATTGTATGAATGTTACATTCATCCTATAAATCAAAATATAAGTTAGACAATAGAAATATCTGCTTTAGCTTTAGCTCTCAGTAAGAAACTCTGATTTCCTATAAATTATTGTACAAGCAAAGTGGTAAAACAAAGCAAAGGTTACAGGAATTGAAAAATTCTCCACATTTACCTTTAATCGGAAGCATACCAATCCCAATATAACATCAGCACAAATTTCAAATCGATCATCTTGTAGCACCAAGTCCTTAAATTCATGTGCTATCCTAATATGCTAAAACAATAAAGAAAAGTTATATCAGTTATGGAATTGGTGTTCATCCAAAACATAAACAAGAATTGCAAATTGGAAAGAACATCCTCCCCGTCTACTCTTTTATCTGCCATTCACCAAAGGTTTTACATGTGTGTGTATGTATGTTCTCGCTCAATCTGTCAGTTCTGCCTGGTTCACATTGGTGCCTCATAGGCATCCTGCCATCAAAGGCTAGAAAAAAAAGGGGGGGAGATGTAAGGGCAATAAAGCTCTGTGTGTGCGTGTGCGTGTGCGTGCGTGTGTGTGTGTGTGTGTGTGTGTGTGTGTGTGTGTGTGTGTGTGTGAAGGATGAATAACAGGTGATAAACACAAGAGCAGCCCGGATCCAGTTTGTACCAGCATCCCAAGGCCAGGCACACTGAGAAAATATGCAGATTCCCCCAAATGTCTCAATGTTTTCAAAACATTTTTGCAGGTTCTGATTGGCTGAAAATGGATTGCTCATGGGGGAGGGATGGGCAGGGGGTGAACCTTTCTAGATCTTTTGAGCACAGGAAAATTCAGAGCTAGCCTGACTTTACTGCACCCAACACCTTTAGTAAAAGAACCCTTTACTCTAATCAAATGGTCTTTCTTTCCCAAAGGATCAGAATGTGGCAGGTATGACATTAGATTAGCTCTGCAGTTGTGGTCAACCCAGAGAGAAAATTGCCTTTATGATGTCAGCTCAAAGAAGCAACCAGGAAGAGATCGAAGCCTGGGGAGAGGCAGCCTCTTGGAGGGTTGGGTCTATCTGAGTGGTTGGGAGAGGATGACCCACCAAGACCCCGATGGTCCCTCAGGATCAGAAAAAGGAAGAGTGGGAAGAAAAACCCACGGGTGACATTCACACATGGGGGTCCTGGTAGCCACCAGCAAGAGATGCAAGTGGAGCTGGAGCAACTGGAGGAAGAATCAAGTGCAAGTGAGCCGGAGGGAGAGGACTGTCTTCTAGTCCAATCCTCTGTGCAAGGCAGGAGTCCTTATAATTAGAACTGCAGAAAAAATAATTGCTACCAACCTGCTTCTGTTGAGGACCTGTATATTGCACGAGTCAAAAAGAGGGCTGTGAAAATATCTAAGACCTCTCACATCCTGGACATAAACGGTTTCAATTTTTGCCCTCAAAATGATGCTATAGGGCACTGCACACCAGAACAACAAAACACAAAGACAGGTTTTTCCTGAACACCACCACTCTGCTAAACAACTGATTCCTACAACACTGTCAAATTAACTACTAAGACTGTATTACTATTCTTCTCCTCATCCTTACTAGTACCTATCTCTTCCCACTTATGGCTATATCCATGTTGCTTGTATTTTTACAACTTATATTGTTTTTATTGTTCCCTAGTATGATTTGATTGCTTATTAGTATCCTATGACTATCACTAAGTGTTATATCTTATGATTCTTGATGAATATATTTTATTTTTTCTTTATGTACACTGAGAGCATATGCACCAAAGACAAATTCCTTGTGTGTCCAATCATACTTGGCCAATAAAGAGTTCTGTTCTGTTCTGTTCTGTTCTATTCTATTCTATTCTATTCTATTCTATTCTATTCTATTCTATTCTATTCTATTCTATTCTATTCTATTCTATTCTATTCTTTAAAAAGCCAATGCAGACCTAGGCTGCATCAACAAAGGGAGAGTATCAAGATCATTGCTGTGTTAAACTACACTTAGAATATTGCATTCGGTTCTTGTTACCATGATAGGAAAAAGATCCTGAGATTCTAGTACAGAGAAGAGCAACAAAGATTATTAGGGGATTGGAGGCTAAAGCATACAAGGAACATTTGTAGGAAAAGCCCCCTTTGAAAGAGGGCTGTTTGATTTTGATATATATGGCCTCTTTGGCCCCTTTTTCAAACCATGTAACTGCACTGAATTTTTAAAATCTAGTATAATCAATTGTAATGAGTAATATTTAATAAAGTCTGAGGAGGGCGCCAAAGCTTTGAAGATTTATACTGCAACACAGGATGAGAACTGAAGATCTACAATACTATATAGATATAGGAAGATACAATGTTCATATACAGCATATAAAAAGGTCATATAGAAATAAATACATGCATATAATTGCTATTTAAAACAACTATTGTTTTATAATTATGAATAAATGATATAAATATTGGGTTGATATGGACTTTAGAAGGGTTGGGTATGTCTGAAAAATATGATACTGGAAATTTATTTGCATACCACTCCAATGAGGAAGAAAAAGAAGGGGCAGTTTAGGAAACTTGTAAAATGCCCAGGAACTTTTTAACTAACCCAAAAGATAAAAACAACAACTGTAGAAAATGGAACAAGAATTTCTAAGGAAGTTGCCAAAAGTAGGCAGACTGCTACTTTTGCAGGTAGAATATTAGAAAGACCAAAAGAAGGAAACCTAACACAATTAAAAGAGATGTATATTATTATTATTATATAATATTATTATGTTATTATATTATTATTCTAACAATAAAAGAAAAAAGGAGTGAAAATGATGCAAGAAAAAGAATTCGTGTTTCAGTGCTAATTTTACTTCATCTTTTCTCCAAAAGGGAACTGTTAAAACAGTTCAGAACAATTGACAAAAGGAAGGAGTAACAAATCAAGGTAACTTTTAAGTGCATTTAGCTTTCCAAAACAAGACCTTAAAAGTCCCTTTCTATGTGTTCAAAAAAACATGGACAACAGAATGGTGTCAGAGAGTTAGAGAAGAGCAGTTTTTACTTTTCCTATCTTAAAACAATGAAGCATTGTTTTATGGACAATGAACTGTTAAAACAATGAAGCATTACTTTTCCTATCTTAAAACAATGAAGCAATGAAACATTTTATATACTGTATATTTGGAGCTACTATATCTAGACACTAAAGCATTACATAAAAAAAGAAAATTGATTTTTGAGGCTGAATTACAGCTCGACTGGCTGTATTACAGCTCGACTGGTTACAGAATACAAACTTGCTTCATTGAAAGCATATGCAATAGTTATATAATTCTTATGGGAGTAAACAATACTTCAACCATGCTGTTCTGTTTTTGGCATATAAATCATCAATCAATGAGGCAGAAGAGAAACCAGAAGAAACAGCAAACAGACCTGACAAGAAGAAACTGACCTCACTGCTCCTAATTCTCAGCTACTGCTTGACTGCCCAGCCTGAATCCTGTCTCTATGAGTTGGAAAACCATTGGACAAAGAGTTTTGGATGGTGACTGCATGGTGATGTCCTTGGACAGATCTGGCTACATGGTGGCTACATGGTGGCACAGTGGCTAGAATGCAGTACTGCAGACTAATTTCTGCTGACTGCCAGTAATTCAGTCCTGATCAGCTCAAGGTTAACTCAGCCTTCCATCCTTCTAAGGTCCATAAAATGAAGACTCAGATTGTTGACTCTATGCTGACTATAACCACTCAGAGCGGGCTATAAAGCATTATGAAGCGGTATATAAGTCTAAGTGCCATTGCTACATGGAAGTATGTCATACTTCGTGCACAGTCCCTTTCTGTATTCCAAATTGACATATACCAACTTGAGTTCCAGCATTTAAAATTCCATCTGACTATAGTATATTGCTGGAATAATTTCCATGACAGTTCTTCTAGTCTATATTGGGTTTTGTCTCTTTGGAAACTTAGAACCTCGATCTAGACCTGGGAAATCCTTTGTTTTGAAAATTGTATCTCAAAATTCACAAACTATAAATAGCAACATATAACTGGTTTTGATGAATATATTACATTTGGAGTCTGCATTAAATTAATTTTAGATAACATGCGAACTAAACACTTTTTTCTTCCTGCCCCATTTCTTTCTGAATTTTTAATGGTAAAACAAAATATGCTCACCTTGCGGATGTATTCTTGTAATCCACTCACACCATACATTCGGAACACAAACCACATTTTTAAAGAACGGAATCTTCTACCTAAAGGAATCTGCCAGTGCTGAAGTTAAAACACAAATGACTTTTTTGTTCAGAATGGAATTGTCATCAAGAGGAGGAGTAGATTAAACATTGTCAGATTTCTTTTTAAAAAAATTAAAATAATAAGGAAGACTCAAGAATCTGAAAGAGCAGGTGCTCTGTCAAGCTGAGATTGTCTAGGACACAAAGCAAGTTGCCATGGCTCAGGTAGGATATAGAGAACCCAGGCAAAATGTATCTCTGTTCACAACTGTGTTCTTGTCTCAGGCATCTCTTCTCTAGTCTTTCCAGTACCTAAAGAGCAAAGGTTTGATTGTATCTAGCCCTTTTGTTTTACCTTGGCAATTGTAGAATGTAGAATATTATTCTTGCAGGGAAAAGAATACTTACCCTGTAATCTGTAATGCATCCTGTAAAGGGTTGGGGCGGTGAAAGAGAAAGAGAAAGAATTCAATATTATTGTAAGTATGAATTCATTATTTTGCCTTACAATACTTCAGGTAGCTTAATCCATATATTCCAAAATCTTATATGGCAAATACACCTGAGCTTCAATGAAAAATACAATTTGTATAATATGCAACATGTATAATACCTGTAATTCGACTGTATGTATGTATTTGGTAGAAAGTGCAAATCAGACTGTATGAAATACATGCATAGAAAATCCACAAATACTACACACAGGTAAATGATCCCATGCCAAATTTTCTGCATAGTTGAAACAATTGTTAATAACATTTAAGAAAATTTCCTTCCACTGCAACTGAACTTATACCTATCCAAAGTTTAAAATATTTAAATATTTTAAGTATTTAAAATACTTTATCAAGAAAATTAAGGAATTATCCAATTTTATACTTTTTATTGTATTTTATATAAGACTCTAATCCTAATTCCAGCATTGTATTTCTCTGTTAGACAATTTGTATAATCTGTCACTCAGTAGGAAGACAGCTCTATTAGTAAGCCTATTAGCCTATTGCAATCACATGCAATATATTTAGAATACAGAATAAGAGAGTTGAAAGGGACCATGGAGGTCTTTTAGTCCAACCCACTGCTCGAGCAGGAGATCCTATACCATTCCAGACAAAAGGCTATCCAATCTCTTCTTGAAAACTTCCAGCGATGGAATACCCACAATATCTGGAGGCAAGCCATTCCACCGATCAATTATTCTCATAATTGGGAAATGTTTCCCATGTTGGGAAATGTTTCCTTAACTCTAGATTGCATCTCTCTTTCATAATCTTCCATCCATTACTTGTTGTGCTGTCTTCAGATATTTTGGAGAGTAAGTCAACCCACTCTTTTCTGACAGATATTGGAAGATAATTCTGGAAAATATTGAATCCTTTAGACTCAAAACACTGGATCAAGTAAGTTATGGTGTTTCTCAAGGGTAAGGTCAGCAATATCATTCTAACAGAAATCTGTTAGTTTACACAGCAGCCACTTGGGAATCAATTCCTTTCAAGGTGCATTGAAAAGGCAGAAATGTATACAGTGGATTACACTGAATGCAGGATGAATGGATCTTTGTTTTTACAGTAATACAATTTCCTCCCACCACCTCTTTCTCCATTGTCCCTTGTGTCTAACTTTCAGCTCTTCAAACTGTATATGGGGATATGTGGGAAGGACAGGAAACAACCTGTTATTGGATGCCATTCTATGGTAGATGGATATTGTAGTGCTAGATATAATCTGATGAATTAATTTCTAGTAATCCAATAAAACTAATGTATTTATGAGAATGATGCTCTTCACTTTTCTTAAGCTGTCTAAAACTGACTTCCAGCTATTATTCTAAGTGCCAAATTAGTATTTAGTAAATAAAGCCAGTATAAATTCTAAATTTTATATTCTTTATATTATTCTAAAGTATAAATTTCACAGAGATGAAAATGGTACACTCAATTTTATTCTACCTGTTTTCAAATATATTCTCTTTTTCTTCTATTGGTTCAGATTTGTCACAGACCAAACCACATAACATATCAAAAAATAAATTTATACCTAGTGAATCTGTATCATTTCCAGTACATAATAACCCAAAATATTTTTTTTAAAGCCGCCAATGGTACTGTACTTTACTTATAGTTCCCAATAGCTTTTTAAAAACAGTTTTCCAGTCCAACGTAGGAGAGATAACATTGTTCCTAATAATGCTAGACATTGCCTTGCACAATAGATAGTAGACTAGGATACAAACTAAATTGAGGAAAACAGTTTGGAGGCTACAGCAGGGAAGTATGCTAGTGGAAAAATTCTGTCTGTTCTATTTATTTCCCATACTTGCCTGCCGTTTTTTCCCCATTAATATAGCAAATGTGTGATTGGAACACATATTTACCAATTGATATCAAGATTCATAATCAGCAAAATAGTGTGAGGTTAATATTCTTATTTATGCATTTATAAAACACCAATTTGCTCAGAATATCGTCAGATAAAAAACTGAGAGTACGTATCTCATCTCAGTGAACCAAGTAGATTTCTGAAAGAATTGAACCGCAACCCCAGATAAGCAGCTGAAAAGCCTACTATTCTCTCTCACTAAGTGTTGATTTAATAGTTGCAGGGCAAGAGCAAAGCTGGAGGCAATTGGTGATGGATAACTAATTGCATGTTTTGTAACACACCATGTGGCTAATGATACACTAGTAACCTCTTGCAAAAAAGCTGATCAGCATAATGTAGTCTACTCTTAGTCTTTGTCACTATAATTATAAACTTCAGTCTTATTTCTCTGTAGTCCAGATGAACTTAATTAAAATTGCACATGCTGTATATCAGGTATAAAAGAGTATCTTTCTGATACTAAAAGCCATATGGTAATCGCTAGGCAGTAAATAAAACCTTGAATGTTAGAATATTAATTAACATAAAATCACAGAACCAAGCAAAATAAGGAGTATTTTTTCTGCATCTGGAACACAATTAATTGCTTGGCCATTGTGAAACTACATAGTATAAAAGGACTGCCTTTCAAAGACACACTATATTCTACATGTTAATGGTCGAATAATCAAAGAAAAAGTAAAGGACCAGAGGCAAATCTGAGACTCAAACAACAAAATGGGAACCTCCAACTAAAGAATGAATATTGTATTCAAACTGAACACAGTTAAGAACAAATAAATACCAGAAAAAATGAATTTTTAGAGATAGACCAATGGCAACATGTCATGCATAGGGGAAAAAAGCTGAAAACAAAGTTTCTGCAGTCCAGTCCAATCCAATCCCATTGGAGTTGGGCAATCAATTTCATATCCTCTCCCTAGAAGAAAGTGTGCAGACATCTGGAGAAGGAACATCATCAAGTGTATTGATGGTTAAAAAAAAAAAAGTAGAGGCGAGACTTTCGCAAGAAAAAATAGTCACATGTAGCTGATAGAAGACTCAATTCTCTGAGGAATGGAATCAGCATCTTGTAGATTGGACAATCAATCTAGGGAAGCATGCTATCTCCAAGAAGCAAAGATCAAAGATGTAATAAGTGATTTGCTAAAATAATTAATCCCACAGATTATTATCCCTTCTTCCTCTTTTATGTGAGGGATAAAAGATTCAACAAAGAGCCTGAAAACAATATCAAGCTTTATGAGCAGCTAGGCATGAAAGTCAAAGAGTGAGGAGCACAAATGGTGTTTTCATCTGTTCTTCCAATGAAAGGTCAATATCCAATAAGGGAATGGAGAATTTTAGAAGTAAACCTCTGTCTTAATGGTGGTGCCATTGAGAGAACTTTGGATTCCTAGACCATGGTCTACATTACCAAATGAAGGCCTTCTGGCAGGATATAAGGTACACCTCATAAGAATCAGGAAAAATGTGCTTGGAAATAACTGGCTTAGCTTATTTGAAACACTTTCAACTAAAACTGGAAAAGATGGAAAACCAATTTTTATTATCCTGTTCCAAGATATTGTAAGCAATGAGATAAAAAATATTGTGAAAGAAGAGGAACCCAAATATTAAAAAAGGAAATGTAGAAAACATACACAAGGTCAGTCAAAAGGATTCAGATTCCTATACACTAATGCTAAAAGTATGAGGAACAAGCAGGGGAAATTTGAAGTCCTAGTACATGACTGTAGTCATTACTGAGACTTGGTGGGATGCAACCCATGACTAGAACCTACTGTTAGAAGAATTTAAATTGTCCAAAAGAAGTAGACTTAACAAAACAGGAGGGTGAGTTGCATTATATATAAGAATTAACTAGACTTCTAGAAATGCAAAAAAACCAAGGATAAAAATCTTGAATTAAAATAAAAGGAAAAAGGAATGGCATTGTCCCTTTCACTGCTTCAGCTGCCATAAGAAACGGAGGGGGGAAACTAGTCAGGGGGCGAGGGGAGGGAAGAGCGCAGGAGGTGTCTTTCCAAGAAACGAAACTTATTCTCCAAAGGAGGCGTTAGACCAACCGTCACAAATTCCTGATGGATGACGTTGGCAGAGGCGACTCCACCTGACCTTTGGGAGACCTTTGGATTGGATGATGGATGATGAACACAGGGCGGGGGAATGCTATCTAGATGCTATTTCGCGCGTTTTGCTCACTTCCAGCTTTACCTGGGTTGCGATCATTTCATATTCAGTAAAAGTACTAATCTCTATAAAATATGGAGTTTGGGTCTTTCTTTCCTGGATTTTGAAGGAAGCATACCTGACATTAAGCTGGAAGTCACTCCAGTTATCCGGGGAAAAAAAAAAAACCCGAGAGACTGGAATTATGTCAGACCGAGGCAGTGATGAAGACCAGATGGGAGCAGCGAGTTCCGCAGCTGCTACCTTCCAAGCAGAGAGGGAAAGTGCAGAATGGTTGGAAAAACTCCGATTAGAGCCGGAGGAAGCCAGATGGTCGAAAGGAGTGGGGAGATTGCCAGACTGGGGGGAGACCCCCCGGGGAGTGACCAGCTCCAGACCCCTAAGAAAGAGGCAGTATGGATGCAGGAACAGAAGGAACGCCTCAGGATGGAACAAGCCTTGCAGCTTATTCGTGATGTGGAAGAGAGCAGGAAAAGCTGGGAGAGCCGTGAGTCTTTTGGGTTTCCTGAAGAGAAGGGAGGAGAAGACCCCAGGGGGGAGCCAGAAGAAATAGCCTGTGGGGAGAGGAAGAAACTGAGGAAAGAGCATCCCAGGCTTCTGCTGCTCAAGGGAGGAATGCAGCCGGCCAGCGACCCCCAGCCTTGCAGCCCACCCCCACCCCCCCGCAGACGTAAAAAGCCAAAAATTCCCCCCCTACCCGGGAAATATGGGAATCCGAAAACCTTGGGGCTTTTCCTGACCCAAGTGTGGAACCACATGCAGGACTGGGGGGAAGACTATGTATCAGATGCCGCCCGAATGAGATGTGTCACGAACTCCCTAGAGGGATTAGCAGCTGAATGGATGGTGG